GGATCCTTATTTCTAGTTTTCTGAACGTCTCCAGTGATGTTCCCATCAGTGACTCTGGAGGAGTTCTGATTTTCCTCTAGAAGCAGAACCTCAGCGGTACCACTCCACCTGGTGATGACTGGATTCTTACTGTAGGCGACAGACAGCAGCGTGCTGTGAGGAGTGTACAGGTCGCAGGCGGCCACGTTGTTCCTCTGAGCAATCCAGTCGATGGAGGCGAAGTCCTGGACGAAAAGCTCCTGCAGGAGAAACAGCAGAATCAGTTTGTGGAGCGAGTCGGCAGCGATTTCTTGTTTGCTTGTGTTTTTCTCTTGCATTTGTGGGTTTTGTGTGTTTTGTAATTTGCATCTTTCATGTTTCGTCGTTCGCTGCACATTTTCACATGGTCACTTTTTACCAGACTGGTAACAAGTTATTTAACTCTGAAAGGACGTGATTCAGAATGAGCATCATTTAATGTGAGTTTAATTTGGACTTTTGGGGAAAAACTGAAGTTTTGTGTTGAGAGATAAGTTAATGGTTTAATGAATCAGAAACTGTTTTAAAGACAAAAGATGAAAATTCACCCAGATTTAATGTCTGCAGTTCAGAACAAGACTGTCTAAAGTAGTCCAAATAAAAGCAGGTCTGACTCTCAGTAGTAGGAGTTTTAAAATAAATAGTCTCTGTAATGTAACATGTTTATTTGTGAATGAGCTCATTCTGTGGTGGCGTCATGGTGTCACCTGTCGAAGGCTGAGAATTAGAGGGTCTTCCTCTGCCGACAGCCTGACAGCGTAGCAGTAGCTCATGGGCAGGTAGACCTGGCGGCAGTGGCACCACAGGGTGGATGGGTGGGCTGGCATCCAGGAGGGGAAGAGCCTGAAACAACCAGGAACCGACTGACAATCAGTAACCAAGCAGCCGCAACGCAAAGTAAAACTGTCTGGCTTTAAACCCAGAGCTGAGTGACCCACCACATCTCCGGCAGCAACGTGTTCAGTCCCTCCCAGCTGTAGACGTTCAGAACAGCCAACCAGAATTTACCCCAGGACGGGATCCCGACGGCGCCGCCTTGAAAACACCAGCGGTTCGTTACGACCTCCACATGTTGAGGGAAGCGGCGCCTGGACCTGATCCAAACCTTTGCTGTGCAGGTTGTTCCGAGCGCGAACCAGAGCTGGATCATCAGGATCCACTCCCAGAATCCTCAGAGACGTGTAGCTGAGCGCCGTTCCAAACACTGTGGATTTATCTTCAATGTGTCTGAGGCAGAAACACAGAAATCATCTCCAACAAGCAGAAAGAGAAGCTTCTCAAGATCTTTTGCAGCTCAAAGGACAAAATGTCTCTTCATCCTCGATGCCTGGATGGCCTTTATTTCTGGAAGAAACTGTGGCTTCCTGTGTTAGGCGGTTCTGCAGTTAATGGCCACTAGTTGGCGCTGTCTCAATAGATAAATGCATGGTATTGACTCACAGCCCCCAGCCTCCATCTGGCAGCTGAACGGAGCGCAGGTACCTCACCATCTCCTTCCTCCAGGCCTCAGGCAGAGGAATCTTGGCAACGTGACACGTGATGAGGAGCCCTGGAGAAAAACGCGTCACATCAGCTCTGCTCCCCCAAAGCCTTCAGTCTGGGTTCAAATGGACATGTGGATTCAGGCAGGAAGGAACCGAACACAGTCCACTGAACTATCAGATGTGGAAACTAAACTCCAGGATGGTTTCTGCTCCCGGTTCACCTGGGAGCAGGAAGAGCGGTCCACCGTAGTCCCCGGCCCAGTGGCCGTCCTCAGCCTGGAGCCGTCTGTAGAAGTTCATTCCTTTAACTGCAGCATCCAGAGCCGTTTCAGAGGCCGAGGAGTCTGACACAAACTGACTCTGTGGACAGAAATCAGGATCAGACCTTATGTCTTTACTACACACCCAAAGCAGCCAGACTTGCTCCAGTTCTCTGGGTTTCTCAGGGTTTCATTTGGATTTTGTTGCATTTACAATCATCAACAGTCCAGTTTCCCTTCACTCAGTTAAACCAGAGAGAGAAACCAGCTCTAGTTTCCTGAAGCAGTTACAACCGAGACCCTGCGTTTTACAGCCCAGTTAACAGAGTGAAATGTGGAAAAAGAGAAAAAGACTGAAGACCTACGATGTCCAGACCCAGAGAATGAGCTTCCAGCATGGTCTGCCCCCTGCTGGGCGTCTCCTGGTCGTCCATGTAGCTCCAGGTCTGCCTGCCCTCTGCGTTTCTCAGCCTCCAGCGGCTCAGGTCTGTGGCCGGGTCCGTCTTATACGGGCCGCCTCGCCTGCGCAGCGTCCTGCCACAGAAACAAGCAGGTCAGATTTCACCTCACAAACTAAAGAGTTTCTGCAGAAACATTAACAAGCAGCAGGAAGTAGTCCTGCTCCAGGTGCTGCTTATGCATCAATATCTTATTGCTTGCTAATAAGATATTGAGTCCATTTGATTCCTTCAGCCCATTAAACACTGGGCCGGTCTTCTCTTTGGTTTAAAACTTCAGTTTTTAAGCAGCATTTATACAAAGTTATTTATGCTTTTAATTCTCAAGGCTGAGATTCTGACATGATCTGAAATGTTTTCCAATCTGTCAGTTAAAGGGACAGACTGGGACTCAGCACTCTGTGGCCTGTTTCAGCCTCTGGACTTTCATGGAGGAAGGAGAGCAACAGGAAGAAACCAGGAAGTTGTTCCATCTGGATTTTTCAGAAGTTCTGGACCAGAAACAAACCCATGCCTAATTCTGATGGCCTAGTCAAAGCCCTCCCTGTCTTCAGGTCTCAGGTGATTAAGCTCTTTACAGTTTCTGCATCACTACACTTTATAAAGTCACATATTGACACTTTCTGGACAGATTTCCAAATATAATCAATCAAATAAACCTCGTTATATTGTAAGTATTTTGGTTTTAAGTTTTTTATTTAGAGTCACAAACTTTATTTCAATAGAAAGTTAAACAAATACTCACGTTCCTTCAGACATTTCTGCTGATAAACTCAGAAACTGGATTCTGCAGGTCGTGACTGAAGTTCGTCTCCTGGTTCCGAAGCTCCACCTGTTGCTCTTGTCGTGGGAGTTGGAGTTCCCACAGCGCCGCGCGCGGCTCCAGTGGACGAGTTCACACCACATTTCCCATGAGCCCCTGCGGGGAGCGGCCTCCGCTTGGCGAATGTGGAGAGACATGAGCAGAGAGTCAGCTGGCCAATCACAGGCGGGCTGGGCGGAGAGTGGGCGGGACTCTGTCGGGTTTGACCAATGAGATTCCTCCTGAGGTAAACACAACACATGTGCTCATTGTGGACCATGTGAAGGCACAAAGTACACATTTATTCCATAAATGAACATATTATCAATGCTTTAATGAATTTAGAATATGAGACTAATAAAAACAGAAGTGTGGGTTCAATAATAAACATGTTAAAGATCTGCTTAATGGTTACTTTAAAAATACTGTAAATCTGTAAACAAGAGAAAGCTGATTCTAGTTGAATCATTTCATTTCTGTCAATTGAGAATATAACATAAGATATAAAATCAATAATAATTGTAGGAGCTATTTATTTATTCTCAGTTAAATCTTAGAATTTAGATTATTTGCTTTATTTTTATTGCCTTATTTTCTGGTTAATTTATAATTGGAAATTTTGTTTAATTCTAGTTATTTAGAAGTATTTTGGCTAGTCGTTCACTTAATTCTTAAATTTCAATTTGGAGTATGAGTGTTTCACATATGAATATGTAGGTATTAGGTAGGTCTTCATGCACATGGGTGGTCACTTGGTTTTGAGCCAGTCTACTAATCAACCAGTCAGTCTACTAGTCAGTCTTTCTGTAAGTCTACCAGTCAGTCTTTCTGTCAGTCTACTAGTCAGTCTACCAGTGAACAGGTTTAGGCAGCAGATCCTGTAACTTGTTTGCCTGAACTGTGGAATAAACTGTATTTTTCACTTTTGGTCATTTTGAAACTCGCGGTGCATCAAGTGTCTGTTTGAGTTGAATTCACTTTTACTTTATCAGCCTGAAGTCTTCAGTTTTTGAGTTTTGAGTTGTTGGACAGGTAGGAAGGGAAGGTGCTGCTGTTTCCTCATCAGAGCTGAACGACATCTGATGGATAAGTTTACGCTTTACTGTCAGTGTTACCATGTTAACATGTTGACTTTAACATGTTAAAGTCCCTCATCATAATCGCCTCGTCTGTATTAGCAATAAATCATGTTTATGTTCTAAAATGAGTAAGGGCCTGTAATGATTCAATGTTTCTGTTCAGAGTTTATCTTTATTCAGCCATCATAGAGATGATGCTAAGCTAACTAAGCTAACGAGTCATTTCCATGTCGGGAAACACTGAGACATGAAGGAACAAAACACAGCAACAGGAATATTTATGTTTTGCAATACCTTGATAAAGTCAAAATTGGATTAAATCGAGCCTCAAAAAGCAAAAATACAGGAATAATAATAAGTTTTACTCGATCACAGCACAATACCTGTCCATGAATAAACATCCCATGAGGCCAACCTGGTAAAAACTAGACGTTTGAAAGGTTTTGCGTTTGGAGACGCCTCCAAACTGTTTGTCATCAAACTCAAGTATCAGTCACAGCTTGCTGTTGAATAATTTTTTCTGTTATTGTGTAACAGCTTACCGTAACGTAGCCTTCGGTTTTTAAAGGATAACTGTAAATTTTGAAATACTGAAAGAGTTGCACATTAAGATGTGGCTGTGCAAACATGTTGCCAGGTGAAGTCCATCCATCACGCTGTGCAGAGAGGATCAAACAAAGACTCACTTATTTGATATGAAGGCTGGGCCACAGATTAAACTGTGGGAGTTTCAGAAATAACAACATGAAGCAACAGTTTCTGGGATCTGACATGACTGTGAACATAAAGATGATGAATGGAGCGGATTAAAACTGATTCTTTAACCCAAACGCAGGATGACAGCAGGTCCGACGCGGCGATGCAGAGAGAATTCAGGCTGGAGGCGTGGAATCACACAAAAGCAGCAAGACTGACAGAGAATCAGTGGATCCACTCACCTGGACAGAACTCTGCTGAGGATCGTTCCTCTGCGTCTCCACAGGTAAGAGCGGAACATCAGAGCAGGTTACGGCATCGTTCTGGTTCCTCTGAAGCCTGATGATCATCTGCTTTTAAACAGGTTTTCTGCAGAGAAACGGCCAGAGGCTGAAGCTGTGAGATGGATCGACACGGACAAGGTAAATCTGAAATATTCATCTCCAACTTTGAACCAAGAACCAAATTCTCAGAACCAGATTTGTGGCTTTACTATCAACCAAAAACTAGCTTTTAATTGTCTTTTATATATGTTCTCATAGGACATGGACATGGTGGATGTGGTGGGAAGGACCATGGACATGGACATGGACATGGACATGGACATGGACATGGTCATGGTCATGGACATGGTCATGGACATGCACATGGACATGGTGGATGTGGTGGGAAGGACCATGGATCTGGTGGTTTTAGTGTCACGTACCTAGAACATGTTAGTTGTAGTGAGGAAAGTCTTGTTCATGAACACGGACATGGTGGTTATGGTGAGACGGACTATGGACAACAATATGTTGGTTGTGGTGGAAAGGACAACCAACATGAACATGAACAGAGACATGGTGGTTGTGGTGACGAAACCCTTATACATGTACATGTACATGGTGGGTGTGATGGGAAGGACCATGGACATGGTCATGGTCATGGACATGGACATGGACATGGTCATGGTCATGGACATGGTCATGGACATGGACATGGACATGGACATGGACATGGTCATGGACATGGTCATGGACATGGACATGGTGGATGTGGGAAGGACAAGCGGAGACGGAGGTGTCAGCGGGGTCACCAACACAAGAAATGCCACAAGAAAGGGCGGAGCTGCCACGGGGTGAGAGCCTGACCTCCACTTCTTGATCTTCTCCATGTTTTCTGCTGCATATTATTTCCACTGTCAGACTGAACATTAATCATGTTTCTGTTTCCTGTCAGTTGTCCAGCAGCTCCTGCAGCAGCAGCGACTCTGATTAGATGGAGACGTTTCAAACATCTTCAGCTCCAAAAAACGCTGAACTCACTATGAACCAACAGAGGACGGACATATTGGATGTGTTTCTTTGTTCAGTTTTAAATAAAGCTTGTGAAATCCAAACAAATGACTGTGTTCAGTTTTTTATTTCATCCACTCTGCTGTTCTGGTTCTGGACAACATGCAGGCAGAACCTGCTTTGCAAATTAGCTCAGGCTACATGCTCTAGTATTATGTATTATGGTATATAGAAACCAAACTCAGGTTATCAAAAACTAGAGATCAAAGCCTGAAATCTGGGTGTGCTGATGACCTCTGACCTGAACCTTCAGAGACACATAAAGACGGATCCAAAGTTGGCCTTCAATCAGCTGAAACCAATCAAATCAATGGTCCAGAACATTGGTGCTGCTGGAGTTCTGACTAAAACCAGGAAGATAGAGACACCACCCGACCCTACCCCATCCGACTCTACCCCATCCGACTCTACCCCACCCGACTCTACCCCACCCGACCCTACCCCATCCGACTCTACCCCATCCAACTTTGTGCCATTCGACTCTACCCCACCCGACTCTACCCCATCCGACTCTACCCCACCCGACCCTACCCCATCCGACCCTACCCCACCCGACTCTACCCCATCCGACTCTACCCCACCCGACTCTACCCCACCCGACCCTACCCCATCCGACTCTACCCCACCCGACTCTACCCCATCCGACTCTACCCCACCCGACCCTACCCCATCCGACCCTACCCCATCCGACTCTACCCCACCCGACTCTACCCCATCCGACTCTACCCCACCCGACTCTACCCACCCGACCCTACCCCATCCGACCCTACCCCATCCGACCCTACCCCACCCGACCCTACCCCATCCGACTCTACCCCACCCGACTCTACCCCACCCGACCTACCCCATCCGACCCTACCCCATCCGACCCTACCCCATCCGACCCTACCCCATCCGACTCTACCCCACCCGACTCTACCCCACCCGACCCTACCCCATCCGACCCTACCCCATCCAACTTTGTGCCATTCGACTCTACCCCACCCGACTCTACCCCACCCGACCCTACCCCATCCGACTCTACCCCACCCGACCCTACCCCATCCGACCCTACCCCATCCGACTCTACCCCACCCGACTCTACCCCATCCGACTCTACCCCACCCGACTCTACCCCACCCGACCCTACCCCATCCGACCCTACCCCATCCGACCCTACCCCACCCGACCCTACCCCATCCGACTCTACCCCACCCGACTCTACCCCACCCGACCCTACCCCATCCGACCCTACCCCATCCGACCCTACCCCATCCGACCCTACCCCATCCGACTCTACCCCACCCGACTCTACCCCACCCGACCCTACCCCATCCGACCCTACCCCATCCGACCCTACCCCATCCGACTCTACCCCATCCGACCCTACCCCATCCAACTCTACCCCACCCGACCCTACCCCATCCGACTCTACCCCATCCGACCCTACCCCATCCAACTCTACCCCACCCGACCCTACGCCATCCGACTCTACCCCACCCGACCCTACCCCATCTGACCCTACCCCATCCGACCCTACGCCACCTGACCCTACCCCACATGACCCTACCCCATCCGACTCTACCCCACCCGACCCTACCCCACCCGACCCTACCCCATCCGACTCTACCCCACCCGACTACCCCGCCTGACTCTACCCCACCCGACCCTACCCCATCCGACTCTACCCCATCCGACCCTACCCCATCCGACCCTACCCCACCTGACCCTACCCCACATGACTCTACCCCACCCGACTCTACCCCACCCGATTCTGCAGTCCTTCACTGACAGAATAGACTTTAAAATACTTTCCAGTTTATTTACAGTTGAAATAAAGACTCATCCACATTTCTTTCCCACAGTTGGAAGTTAAATCTTCTCTTGTTCTGTAGGTTAGTTAGAATCACCAAAATTATTTTTGTTTTCTAAATGCCAGAAAACTTAACAAGAACATGTTTTAAATATTTTTGTAGCTTTCATCAAGTTCAGAAGTTTTCATACCTTCAGTCATTGTCAGGGATGATTGTCACGCCTTTTGGATTTCCAAGCTTCTCCCAGTAGTTTGCTGGAGTTCTGGTCCATTCCTCCAGACAGAACCGGTGGAACTGGATCGGGTTTGTAGGACTTTTCAGATTCACTCACAGCTTCTCTCCAGAACTGAGAGCAGAACTTTGCGACGCCACACCAGAACATTGGGTTTGCTCTTTGGAGCCAGTGAGGCTGGATGCTGAGGCTCCATGTCTCCATCCTCAGCCTGCGTTTCCCCAGTTTCACCACCAGGTGCCGCTGCAGATCCTTCAGCCTCAAACCAGGATGACGATCTCCAGCTAAAACAGCTGAGTCTTCCCTTTTTTAATTACTGAGAGAGCAATCTGCAGCATCCGAACGTCAATAACTCAGCAGGAAGTTAAAGCAAAAATATCTTCATCAACAAATCGGAAAAAAGGAAAACGCAAAATAGAAAATCGCATGAAAATAGTAAACAAAATATATTTCATCAATAAAATACACAAAATGAAAAATAGATGACCTTAAGGGAATAAGGAACTAAAAGCCCGTCTCATGGGTTTGAGGACACACAGATGTTTGTTGGATTGTGTGCAGATGTTGGTAGTTTATAGAGGATAAACTCCAGAGCCTCACCTCCCCTCAGGCAGAAATGTTTGATTTCATGGTGAAGAAATGTGGTTAAAAGTATGAATGATGTGTATGAACAAATAAAAAGCTGAATTTCCCTGCAGGTTCATTCAAGGTGTCAAATCCAGGCAGCACAGACTGAGTGAAAGGTTAAAGGTCACAATCTGGCAGCAACTGGTACAACAAACAACTGACAGTCGAAACGAAAAGACAGAAGAGACACAACAGATTCAACAAGGAACCCGGGTGGGATGAAATACCCAGAGGGTGATCAGGGAACGAGACACAGCAGGGAACAATCTGAGGGTCGAATCCGAAAGCTAAAATAAACGCAGAAAAACTCAAATCCTCACACAAGGTGGAGGTTTTGAAAGAGACAAAAACTAATAGAAACAAAGATTGTTTGATCTTGAAAAACTAAAGGATGTTCATAGAGTTGGACGACAGAATGAGACACTGGAAGAAACACTGAAGGCATCACTTCCACTCTGGTCTCATCAGATTCGTGCCTCAGATAGTTTGGAAAGACGCTGATCGGCAGCAGCATTCCCGGGAGAAGCTGAACTTGACGTTTGAAACTGGAAGCTTGACGTCAGACTTGACATGCGAGTCTCAAGCATCAGTTAAAGTTGTTGAATGTTTCTTTGTGTTGGTAGATTTGGAGATAACAGCTTTAAGTTTAAAAGATGACTGCGTCTCATTCAGGAGAAAATGTTGGAATGTTAGTTTGGTTGCTTGATAAGATCTGGTAGCAAAAACAAAGACCCGCTTACCAAGACTTGCTTTATTTGATATGATTGACTATGAGAGAAAACCAGAAGGGACAGTTTATCAGGTCTGACATGACTGTGAACATAAAGATGATGAATGGAGCGGATTAAAACTGATTCTTTAACCCAAACGCAGGATGACAGCAGGTCCGACGCGGCGATGCAGAGAGAATTCAGGCTGGAGGCGTGGAATCACATAAAAGCAGCAAGACTGACAGAGAATCAGTGGATCCACTCACCTGGACAGAACTCTGCTGAGGATCGTTCCTCGCGTCACAGGTAAGAGCGGAACATCAGAGCAGGTTACGGCATCGTTCTGGTTCCTCTGAAGCCTGATGATCATCTGCTTCTTTTAAACAGGTTTTCTGCAGAGAAACGGCCAGAGGCTGAAGCTGTGAGATGGATCGACACGGACAAGGTAAATCTGAAATATTCATCTCCAACTTTGAACCAAGAACCAAATTCTCAGAACCAGATTTGTGGCTTTACTATAACCAAAAACTAGCTTTTAATTGTCTTTTATATATGTTCTCATAGGACATGGACATGGTGGATGTGATGGGAAGGACCATGGACATGGTCATGGACATGGTCATGGTCATGGACATGGACATGGACATGGTCATGGTCATGGACATGGTCATGGACATGGACATGGTGGATGTGGTGGGAAGGACCATGGTCATGGACATGGTGGGTGTGGGAAGGACAAGCGGAGACGGAGGTGTCAGCGGGGTCACCAACACAAGAAATGCCACAAGAAAGGGCGGAGCTGCCACGGGGTGAGAGCCTGACCTCCACTTCTTGATCTTCTTCATGTTTTCTGCTGCATATTATTTCCACTGTCAGACTGAACATTAATCATGTTTCTGTTTCCTGTCAGTCGTCCAGCAGCTCCTGCAGCAGCAGCGACTCTGATTAGATGGAGACGTTTCAAACATCTTCAGCTCCACCAGCCTGCAGTGATCAGTTACACTCAGCAGTTAAAGGCTTTACTGAACTCAATGAATAAATAATAATAAATGTGAGGTTCTGGGAATGCAAACTGTTTTGATTTTACTGATGAGATGTTGCTGCTGCTGCTTTGTACTGACTTGATTTCAAATACAGTACATGAAATTGAAACAAACGATGACTTTCAGTGTCATGTTCTTTGACTCTATTCTCTGTTAAACGGCGGCTAGTTAAATGTTTTTCTGCTGTTCAGCATCTTGTGTCTTGTTTCCTCTGTTCTGCCGTTTGTTCGGGTCTGTTTGTGTTTTCAGTTCTTCCAGTTGCTGCTGGTTTCTGTGCCTCCTGCTCAGCTGTGCTGCCTTTGCTTCTTCCTCACCAACTGCACTATAGTTCATGACCCAAAGCAGCGATTCCTGAAATATTCCCTCCTTTCTCTGATTTCTCTGTTTGCCTGATCTGAAGGTTTGATGTTTTTTTTATTGTGTTTTGGTTTCTATGGAGGGTTGAACTGTGACCTTTGTTCACCAAACACCAACACACCCTACTGCTCACCTCTGTGATCACTTGACTAAAGCTTTTACCACCTTCATGTCTTTATTGGGAGCAGCTGTTGCACAGACGCATTGAAAAACGTTGCCCTCTGGTCCTAATCAAAGATCTTTTATCTGCATCAGAACCGGGTGGATCAACGTTTTGCTTGTTTTCGGTTGGAAATATAAAACTGTTGGACTAAACATTAACTGAGGGCGTTGACTGCTGAGTCTGCAGATTCACATGGATGGAATTTCATGTAAATTTTGAGATTTTATAGATTTATAAAGGATTTTTTTTCTTCTTTAATGCACAGTGGGTTAAAATTATACTTAAATGCATACTAAGTTTTAAATGCATACTAACACTCCCACTAAGGTTTTATTAAATGTTTACTCAATCACATGTTTCTCAGGTTTTTCACCTTTTCCAGGAAAACTGCTGTGAGGAATCTCACGGCTGATAAAACTCAACCCCAGGCCAAATGACTCCAGGTTTGACGGTTCAGTCACATGCAGAGGTTCATACAGGATTGGCTCAAAATCCAAGATTCATCAACTAATAATCAACACATTCTCAGATGCTAATGTCTGCCCAACATCTTTTAGCTGCTGCTGGTGGCAGCGGCTCAGTCATCGGTTCATATCTGCAGGCTGGGAAGGCCGATGACATGGACACAGAATAGAGGAGCGTCAGCGTCCACCTCAGAGACAGTTACAGTAAATCATTACACTGTGGTTAATGTGGGTCATGCAGGCAGTAAAGCTCGACACCGATAGTTTGATGAGGACTTCCTCAGGTTAAAGGTGCAGCAGAGCATAAAAGAGGCTGCAGGTTGAGCTGAATCAGATCCTCTGGAACCAGGAATGAACATCTGACTCTGCAGAGCTTTCAGAGGATTTCTGAGAATGAACCAAGGTACATCGCCCCTCTGATCAAAATCATTTCAGTTTACAGCTTTCATTGACTAACTCTGGGCTTCCTTTGTGTTTAGGGAACCAGTATCCAGGAGGTAACCCTGCATTTCCTCCACCAATGTCAAACTGCCCTGCTGCACCTGGACATCCAGGACACGCCGGACATCCACACGGAGCCGGACACGGACCCGGACATGGACACGGACCCGGACAGTGCCATGGACATGGACACAAAGACAAGAAGAAGCACAAGCACAAGGACAAGAACAAGGACAAGCTTAAGCACAAGCACAAACACGGCCAGTGCCACAAGAAAGGGAAGGACAGCCACGGGGTGAGTCCATCCTCCTGCTGCTCACCTGTAAGTTGAGAAATCATCTCAACTTACAGGTTTCCAGAAAGTTAAGACCAAAATGTCACGAAATGTTCAGTGAAATGTTTTAGATCTAGCTTTGAATAGAACAGACCTGAACTTTTAAAGATGAGTAACTTGGTTCCTGAACTTATTTGTGTTTTTTCAGGCGTCCAGCAGCTCCTGCAGCAGCAGCAGCAGCAGCAGCAGCAGCAGCGACTCCGACTGAATGAACAACCAGTTCTGACTCTCTGACTCTTCTCATTTAATCTCAGTTGTTTTTAATTCAACAGTAAATTAACAATTAAACCCAGTAAACACAAATAATCATTCAGAAAACGTCAAAACTTGTGTCAGTTTTTATCATGTGGAGAATATGATGTTAGTCCTGATGCTCGTTGCTTTCTGAGTGGAATAAAATGACTGCAGTGAATAATAAATGTGAAAACACAAACCACAGCCTGTCTGCATTTATCTGAAGTCCTGTTAGTCCAGAGTCACCCTGTTCCTGCTGCAGTAGCTTGTTTTGATAACCTTCACAATCTGTGAATCGACGACAGGAAGGAGATTTGTTCACGGGTTCAGCTTAAAGTCAGCAGCTCCTCATTCACTGCATCAGGAAAACTGCTTTAAACTTTCATTTAATTTTATTCACTCAATAACATGAATCAGAAAAAGTTACAAACATAATATTTACTTACTATTTACATAAAAATAAAATTAGCTTCTGATGTCAGAACATTGTTACAAACATATTTCAAATACACAAAAATACAAAACAAAACATCAACTCCATGTTCATCATCATAACTTTCATATTTCTTTTAAATGCATCCTGATCCATAAACCCACCGAAGCTCCTGCATGTTCAAAGACGTCAAATTTAAAAACCTGAAATATTTGGACTTTGTTGCTCTAAAAATCTTGTAAATACAGAATCACATTGTTTTTGGTGCAGCCTCCTTGTTCAGGGCAGTTTAGAGAACCGGACCCCGGACCCGGACCTGGAGCCCAGACCCCGGACCCCGGACCTGGAGCCCAGACCCCGGAACCCGGACCTGGAGCCCAGACCCCGGACCCGGACCGGGATCCAGGATCTAGACCTGGACCTGTTCCTTTATTCTGCAGTAATGCTGCAGAATAATGCAACCCTTAACTTGACGTCGGCCTGTTTCTATCAACACGTCTCACCATCCATCATGTTAGACAAACCGTTTCTTTTGGCTCGTTTCCATGTTGTTATCAGAAACACATCAATCCCAAACATTTTCTGGTGAAATGCCGTTGCAGTCATGCTTTAAGTGGCAAAGTTCAAGTCTTTGTGACTCAGGTTAACGGCTGATTCTGGGAACGTCAACGAAGGCTGAGCAGATTTCAGTGAGTAAAGGTTCAATAGTGGAATCACTTCATAAAGTGTTCAAATGACACAAGGTGTTCATATTTTTCTCCACAAATATCTTTTGCCCCAGTTGCATTTACTGGAGAAATTGGAACCAATTCCTTTTGGGAGTTTTACTCTGCTGTACTTTTTACTTTACTTGAGTCATGTTATTATAAAGTATAATTTCTCTTACTTAAAGAACATTTCTGGATTCTCTTCCACTTTATTCAGTGAGAAACTTCAGCTTAATTTTAAATCACCAAACACAGAAAAGCCCTGCAGGTTTTTGAGACGTCCTGTTTATAAAAAAGTTTCAGTTTTCTAATGATATTTACCCTGCTTAACATTTATACACATTACCTACTCTAAAGGTTTAGATGAACTAAGTTGCTTTTAAAAATGTTTGGTTGCCTCATTTTATTTATCAGTTTAGTCTTTAAAATAGTAACATTTCCAGAAAACTTTCCATTTTGTCCATTTAATTACATAATTTTGAATTATTAAATGATGAATGTGTTAATCAGTTACTCTGTACTTGAGTCGCTGTTTCACCAAATACTTTTTAAACTTTTTACTCAACATTTAATTTCCCTTGGGGGTCAAAAATGTAATAAAAAATGTAATAAAAATATGTAATAAAAATCTTGGATTTTTCCCTAAGTGACTCTAAGTATAATTTTCTCCAAATACAAAGATTGTATTTGTCAAATGCATCAATATCACTGATCTTTAGGTTACTTGATGTCACCATATACAGGAGGGTCTGGGTGGTCTGCATGCTTTTTCGTCTGTCTGCTAAATTAGATGAACAAAAACATTGTGTTGCATGATGTGTGTCCACTTCAGTGGTCTCCTGTTGTATTTCTAACATAAAAATCCACAAGAAACACAAGAAAATGACTTTTAGATACATGCCCGCTGCAGTGACCACTGTGCATGGAAATGGCTCCAGTTTTAATACAGTAAATATTTTATGTACCACGAATAGTGAAGTTTGAACCTCACTGGTTCTCTTTCATCACCACTTTCTGAAGCCAGCTGCATTCTTTCCGCTGACCAGCAGGTGGCAGTGTCGCAGTAGTGATCGCCCGCCAATCAGCGGCAGTTTTTCGCTCTAACAGGAAGTAAACAGAGGAACCGGAAGCTCTGCGCAGGGGCAGCTTCTGGCTACCCAGAGCTGATCATCATCTAAATTATAATATCAGTAATTATGACACTAACGGTTCTGACTTCTGCCTTCAGGTATGTTGTCACCGGAAGCTGGTGTAGCTTTGCAGGAAGTGGAGTTGCTGTCGCCGTTAGTCGAGACATTTTTGCTTGTAACAACAGAGAAACTTGTTTTAAAAGTTGAACATGTCTGTTAGCCTCACCGCGGAGCCAAACAACCAGTGAAAATGTTATTGAATCAAGCAGTTTCCCCCAAAGTGCCTGATTTAACCGCCTCAAATCTTCTCTCTTCTAATAGCTTCATTTTTAACACCAAAGCTAACATACTGTCCACTGATTTCACCACGAGTCTCAATGCAGGAAGATAATTAGAGGTCATAATGTTCTGCATGTATTACCTGATCACTGAGTGTAACAGGTAATAAAGTTAACCAGTTTATTTCAGGACCAGGTTCAAGGACAGACAGGCTTGTAGTCGCCCCCTGGCGGCGTAATAAAATAAAACATTAAATATGATTCATGCTCAGCTTGGTTTTCATTAATTATCTTTCAGGCTGAAGCCTCTTTGCAGATTGCAGCGAATCCAGGCTCACCTGGTGAGTATCAGCTGACGATGTACCGATTGACCTTTACTGACCGGCACCGATTACCAGGTTTCTGCAAGGCCTTGATTTTCAAAGTTCTCTTTTGTTCAAACCTTAATTCACCTTCTAAATTGAACAATAATCACCTTGCTGGGTGGAGGATGACATCTGCAGATTAAACACATTCTGGACACAAACTGTTTAGACTTTTATACACAAGTCAGATAAACTATTGACCTCCAGAGTACCTGGAGAGAACAGACACATCCACAACTCCAGGCTGGGATTCAAACCCACAACCTTTATTTATTTATAATAACTGGTCAACATTAAATTGCATAAGACAATAAATAATTACAGAAAAAAGAAAACAACTTAATTTAAAAATTGATTAAAAATAAATAAAATGAGAAATAAAAAGGTGGAATACAAATAATGTATAGTAAATATATGTGCTAGTCATGAATATAAATGCTAAAAATGATTTAAGGAAGCCCAGTCAGTTGTGTTTGCAGCGACCCTCATACTGAGCAAGCATGTGGCGACAGTAGAGAAGAACAAGTTTCCTTTAACAGAAGTAAAAACCAACTTCAGGATCAGAACCGAGAATTTCAGCATCTGGAAGGTTTCAGTTTCCATCCGGATGGTGAAGCTCAGTTACATAGATATTAATAAATCTGCTCTTCCTCTATCACTGGATTTATTTGACAGATTCACCTATAGAGAAAAACACCTGAGTCACTTAAACATGAAAATAATCAGATTGAACACAAAGTTATGCAGCTATTGGACCTCAGTAATTTATGATAATTACTGAATTATTTTCATCAGTATCTGTTTAGCATGAAATGTTTCTGTTTCCCTCCAGATGTCGGCTCACGTGGAACCGGAGGTTCTGCTGGAGAAAGCGGGCCGGGCCGCAGTGATCACCATGAACCGACCCAAAGTCCTGAACGCGCTCAACCTGAGCATGATCCGGCAGATTCACCCGCAGCTGCAGGTGGGCGGAGCCAGAAGTTTACATACACCATTCATCCTGTTTTTGATAAATTCCTGAAAACTTGGCAAAACTTTTGTTCTCTGTAGAGAAAAGCGAGAAAATCACAATTCCTAATCCTGGAAATGGTCAAATATTGATTTCAAAATGCGTTAAAGTTGTTCGTCTTTTCCGCTCCTGCTTTCAGCGAGCTGCTTATCGCATCCTGCATCCACTCGCCCACCGCGTGAACTTTGATGAATCCTTTCATACTTTTCATTCAAGAAGCAGAAAGCATCAGCTGACATGTTTAAAAACTGATGCAACCTGCTGGAAGTGATTAAATACATTTTATTTGTTTACACTGTATTTTTCTCTTGTCACTCAGAACAGAATCATTAAAATGTTTGAGTAGAAAAATTGTGTCTGAATCAAATGGTGACCCTAAAGGTCAGAATCAAATGGAAACTGAACGATTCTCTAAGATCTTCAGGGTTTTAAAGATCGGACAGAAAACGTCCATCAGTGACGGTCAGGAGAAAACTGATGTTTTTATAAAACTTTATGTTTTTATAAAACTTAATGTTTTTATAAAAACTTATGTTTTTATAAAACCTGATGTTTTTATAAAAACTTATGTTTTTATAAAACTTAATGTTTTTATAAAAACTGTTTTTATAAAACTTAATGTTTTTATAAAACCTGATGTTTTTATAAAAACTTATGTTTTTATAAAACCTGATATTTTTATAAAACTTAATGTTTTTATAAAAACTTATGTTTTTATAAAACCTGATGTTTTTATAAAAACTTATGTTTTTATAAAACCTGATATTTTTATAAAACTTAATGTTTTTATAAAAACTTATGTTTTTATAAAACCTGATGTTTTTATAAAAACTTATGTTTTTATAAAACCTGATATTTTCATAAAACTTAATGTTTTTATAAAAACTTAATGTTTTTATAAAACCTGATGTTTTTATAAAACCTGATGTTTTTATAAAAACTTATGTTTTTATAAAACCTGATATTTTTATAAAACTTAATGTTTTTATAAAAACTTATGTTTTTATAAAACCTGATATTTTTATAAAACTTAATGTTTTTATAAAAACTTATGTTTTTATAAAACCTGA